ACTCATCTCTAATCATTTCTACTTCTTTAAGGAACTGAGGCAGGTCCTACACATTGGTTCTGTCATAATAGGGAGCATTACAGCTTGTTTAGTGTAGAGGCAGGCTAGTCTGTCCTTGAATTGTAACTGGTAGAGTATTCAGAATGTTGGTTGTGGCTGGCTGGCCACTCAGAGTACTGGCTGTAGTAGGCAAGCCACTTAGATTATTCTGTAAGCTCATTTGTTGAGACTGGGAACTTATTAGATTGTTCTGTGTACTTGGAACTGTTAGAATGATTAGAAGTGGTGGAAATGCTAGAGTGATTGTGTGGTTGTCTTCTTGAACAGACAGAACAGGAGACACAGAATGAGTAGAGTTGTGTGTAGAGGTCAATAGAAACAAACTAGGGAATGAACTATGAAACATGGATGGTGAAGCTGAGCTGGATTGCTCAAGAGGTTGTATGGAAACCCTTTCAGAAACAGGACTAAGCATGTAGGATACAGGTTGTAAGAGGTTACAGTCAACCAAATCTAATTCAGGTCTGGAATCTGATTCTTCTGTGATTGAGTTGGTACACTCTCAGTAGTACTACCACCTGTTGGCTGCTTAGCCTACTTGAGACACCTTGAGAAACCCTCCTCACAGTAGGCTCCAAAATGTTGATCTCAAGTACTGGTTGAGGTAGAAGAGGTCAGTTGAGTCTGCAAGGTACAGACACTAAGAGGGGTCAAGAGTGAGAAGGAATAGGTAGATCTGAGCAGAACATACAAGTTCCAAAGGTGATGATTAACAAGACAAGAGTAGTACAGAACAATGAAGCTGTACTTTAGAACTAGACAATACAAGACAAGACAAGGCAAGAGGGAACTTTTACTGATGAGACTGTCAAATTACACACTAAGAGTTGTAATAGAGAGTAACTTGATTGCTGGAAAGTATGAATTACATGAGGGTATTTATAGAAATTATGAGTCCTTTGTAGCTACTAGTTCTTTGTGAACAAATCCACCACTGTCTCCTTTGTATCAGCCTATCCAGGACTCTAGATCTGAGTCCCCTTTGTATTGATCAACCAACTGTCTGAAGGCTCAGAGTCTTGCCTTTGTGAATCAGAACTAGAGTCTGGAACCCAACTAGTCCAAATTGAGCAACCAAGACTATTGTGTAAGCAATAATGACATAATTGAAGGATTGCTGACATGAGGATGATGTGACTTTGATACAACTGAGCCCTTCCAATTGGAACATATCAGAATGTATGTGTTACATAAGCATGACAACAGGTAGACATATACAAAGGCTTTAAAAACTACACATATAGTTACTTTACTATGCATATTATGTTTACTACTCAAGAATCTGTTGCTCATACATTTGCATCTGCTTTTCTACAAGGCACAAATATGCCTCATCCTCCTCTACAACTCTTAGTTGGCCCTCAAGCACAACCAATCACCCAGGATTAGGTTACTCACAACCATAGTACAAGTACTGACTATGTTTTCAATTGAGAGAAGCTTAAGGAGATTGTAGCTTTCTCCAGGGCTATCCACAACAATTCCCTTGACCCTACTATGTAACTCCTAGAGTATTATCTTATTGTATTATACTTGTATAACTTTCACATTCCTTCTCATACAATACTGAGCCTGCTACTACTATTCCAAGACTACATTCAACATACTAAAATGATGTAAGTGTCCCAGGACTTTGTATACTGTAAGAACATAGCTTTGAACCAAGGTAAATGTGCATATATTCTGTATTATATTATTATGAGCACATATACCTTACTGTTTTACTTAGGTGCAAAGTATAGAGCTGAGCAAATCAATAATAGAACTGCTATATTCTACTCACACAACTGTAAACATCCTTGGATCAAGTCACAATTACCCTCAACATCCACCAATCTTACTTTGGTACTCAATATGAGTACTCTGAGCTCATTCAACACTCAAGGCATTACTCTACTACTGAATCTGCTGCTTTCTACTCAATCTGACAGCCATTCCAACTAATCTGCTGTGAGTTCCACCAGTTCTACTGTAGAACATGTTCAAACCAGACAGGAACATGTCCAGTCTACTACAGGACTGATTGAAGACACATCTATGACTGTAGAGAACATTCTAGCACAGTAGTACTGAACTTTGTAGTAAGTTACTAATGTTTTCTTTTGTTTTTGTGTTGTTATTTCATTTATTCCAGTACTAACTCTCTTAGCATTTAGGACTAAATGCTGGAGGGCAAGTGTAACAATTGTGCTACCTGTGCATTTGCACAACATGTGTTGTAGGTGCTTGTGAGTGTTTTCCTTTTTGTTCACTAGACTACCCTGTATCCTACTACATGTGTATACACATATATAAAGGGTTTTCAAGCTAAGGGTTAGGGGATTCTTTCTCCTTCTCAGTGCTCAATTACTAGGTTATCCCAGTCAGTAGTTAAGTGTGCTAGTAAAGAGAGAATCTTCACATAAGGCTAGTATACCTATCCTTACACCAACTTTGCTCAGTCTAAAGTAACATTTACTGTGTTGTAAGTGAGCAAGAAATTAGACACTAAATTGGTAATCTTTTCCTCCTCACTTGTGAATATGAAACAATGATTAGGGCTCAGTCCTGTACCATATTATATAGATACAGCATTTTTGTATACAGTACTGTACTGTATCTGTATAAAAAATTTGACTCAAAAATACAGTACATATTTTACAGGCTGTAACCATATATAGTCTGTATAATACAGACTGTATACACCTGTATACAATATACAGCTACTAAATGAAAGAAACTCTTGCTCTAAACATAATGCTGAAGCTCTAATAAGTAGTATTCAATGTTCAGACACTTATACTAGCATTTACTAATATATTCAGCACTATTATTGTAAAAGTATGTGCAATCTGATATATATTCTAATATATAGGTACATCACATGACTCGACTTTATGACAAATATCACAGACTAAATTACATAACAAAATGTCAATAAGTCAAATTTTATACATTTCATGTAGATTAAGGCATAATATAGGTAGAATTCAATATTTCTATACTAAAGAGGTAATATCACAATGATGTAGCCCCTTACATTTCATGCTCCACCTTGGTAAATGTAGCAACTACGCTGTATCTGTATATGGTGTATACGTTCTGTATACGGCCGTACTGTATCTGTATAGGTTTTCAGGTTCAGAAATACGGCACTGTATTATACGAGCCGTATCCGTATAAGGGTCGTATTATACAGCCCGTATCCGTATACGGTACGGTACCGAGCCCTAACAATGATAAGGGACCTGATTACAGTAGAATATGTCATAATGCATAATGCTAGGAAGGGTCATTTCTATATTCATTATGAGATTTATGCATTATGACATTATACTTTGGCAGAGAATGACCATTTGGTTCTGAGAAAAAGTCATTCATTATGACAATTATACATTACCACATTATGCATTATGACATATTTGACTGTATGATACATCACGGCATCATTCTAGACTTCTAGATGCGATGACTCGGCGTGATTCCCTTATAAATCGGTCCTACAAAGCTGGAAGTCGTTTTGAGAACTTAGAATCATATTCAGCTTCAGGCCGTGTTCGAATGCCCCGAGGCCAAAAGCCGGACCATTACTCAAGTGCGAGTGCCACTGATACCGTCATGTCTGTTTCACGAGCAGACAGAATGCAAAGGTGAGAAGGTGAGTCGTTGTCATAAGCAGTTAAAAATTACAACACATACCTAACCCAGCACACAGAATTCCGTTTCGGCCATATATAAAAAGAGACTTCAAGCATAATCTCTTTGCAAGGGCAGAGTATGAGACCCTGGTCACGAATGTCCCAGTACAGGGCATTATGATGTGACTCCTACAGTCAGAATTTAGATGGTTTCATACTATACCCTTATGCGGAGAGATGATGCAAAATCAAGCATTACAGTGTCGATGAAGTAAAACACATGCATCGAGACACAAGAGCTATGTTACACGTTACACAAGTTAAAAATATGCCAACCCCATTTGTACTAGGTAACTAATGTCAAAGGAAATTATTCTTTGCACAAATTGCAGTGTTACAAGCTAAACTATACGCAACTTACTAAACGTTATGAGTTTGTAACACGAAGCACGACGATTCGTCGAAGAACCCGTCACGGGTGGTACATAGAGTCATAGACGTCTTGTCACAACTCGGCTTGTAGTAAACAAATCGCGTACCATGTGTGCGCTGTGCAGGCACCTGGATGACCTGGCACGTTGCGTTGATAACTGCTGGCTTGTCTCCAGGGCAAATGCGAATTTAAGAAGACTTTCGCTCTGTGCAGTGGTGTGCACCGCGCATGCTTTTTGAATCTTTGCAAGCGATGACCGGATCAATTTGATCCATGGTTGTCGGCATCGGCTCGATTTTGGCGACGCGTGTGAAGAAAACGCGTTCGCCTATTGGAAGTTATGTAGCTCCCGTCACCTCCTCAGTTGAACCAGTCGATGCTCTTTCATGCGGCCTTTTACCACTCAAAGTCAAAGCAGCTCTCATGTCATCGGCAAAGGATCATATGTACTTTGACTTCTTGATGGATGTATTTCTGGCTGCTGATTCGGTTACTTTTCTTCGATATGAACAGCTTGTTACCAGGTTACGACGCTTCCTACGGCTGTGCGGTGTCTGATCACGAAGATGTCTTCTCCTGCAACCCATGCTTCGTCAACCCTGGTGATGCACATGCTGCTGTTGCAATCCAAGGACACCCGCCACGGTGGGATCAGTCAATCTTCAACTGAAATCGCTTGTTCAGACCTGCCCTGGCTACCTCCTTGGATTATTTAAAACCAGTTCGCTGAGGCCATGCTGAGGCCAGCGCTCAGGTCCCCGAGGTGCCGCTTTGTCGCCCCCTTCTCCTTCTTCTCCCTGTTCTCCGTCAGTGGTCTGGCACCCTGCTTTCTTGTCTTTCGTCTAGATAGATTCTACGCTCTTTGCTTCGAGCTGATGTGCTGATTTGCCATGGTCCGACTCCTATTTTCAATTCTCGTCGCTGCATTTGCAGTTTTCTCTCTGGCTCATGCAACGCCCATCTATTCTTCTGGAGCTGGGCCCGACTTCCTGAGACGCGAGTCGATCACTACGCTTTCGACAGACCAGATCTCTACGTTCAGGCCGTTCTCATTCTTCGCCAGTGCGGCATATTGTAACCCGAGCGTAACGAGGAACTGGAGCTGTGGAGGTATGAACAGGAATTATCTCCCCACGAACTGCCTTGCCTCAACTAAGACCTAGCAAACTGCGATGCAAATCCCGGATTTGAGCCTACCGCATCAGGAGGTGATGGAGTTGTCGATCAGTTCTGTCAGTGCATTGCTTGCATGTTCAGCGAAATCAGATTTCTAACGTTGATATAATTGCCCTTGACTAATCCAGGGTATGTAGGATTCGATCCTGCGCTCAATTCTGTTGTCGTTGCGCATCAGGGCACCGATCCAGACAAGATGTACGTGTGTTAACTCAATGAAACTATCTGGTTGGCGATGCTCAAAATTAATCTCTCCGATGTCTTGTTCTTAACTTGATAGTATCCCACTTTTGACCGATGCCGACATTGTGAAGGTTAATCTTGATCCAGATCTGTTTCCGGGTATAGACGATTCGATCCAGGTCCACGATGGATTTGCAGACTCCCATGCCCGGTTCGCATGTTTTTCTACATCATTATATAGAATAATGATCGAATGTCACTTCTCAGAGTGGCACCGGATGTGCTATCTGCTGTGCAGACCACTCTTTCTGCTCACCCCGATGCAAGTGTGACGATGGTTGGACATTCTCTTGGTGCAGCGCAAGCGCTGCTCGACTCGGTTTTCTTGCCACTGCACTTGCCTTCCGGCACGAAGTACAAGTACGTTGGTTACGGTCTACCACGCGTCGGGAACCAAGCCTTCGCAGACTATGTTGATTCTCATGTCACCGACCTCACGCATGTAACGAATAAGCAAGATCCTATTCCAACTGTTCCTGGTAGGTTCTTGGAATTTCAACACCCGCAGGGTGAAGTTCATATCCAGGACTCAGAAGAGTGGAAGGCATGTCCAGGTGAACATCAACCGTTTCTTCTTGATGCATGTCTATTTTGGCATAAATAATGTGATGCTTACAACTATTGAAGGTCAGGATAACGATTCCGACGAGTGCAGCACCGGAGCCGTGCCGAATATTTTCGAAGGAGAGATCTCTAATCATGATGGTCCTTATGATGTCGTTACGATGGGTTGCTGAACAAATGTTGGTCACTAACTTCGTAGTTCCATCTTGGAATAATCGAGGTTTTTGTTCGTTTTTTAAATTTATATATGGCCTTTTTAGATCTTATTCTGGACTTTTCTCAAGATGCATTATCGCCTTTTTTTGGTTTCAGCACTCGGGTTTTGCCACGCGGCGTTATACACCATTGTTATTAGTTCTCTGTCAGACTGTGGCGTGAAAGCAATAATAGTCGTACAATATAAGTCGACGGATTGCTAATCACGGTGGAGATCCGGGTACTGAAGCAAGACCACGACTCGTAACAACGTGCAGTATTATGAAATGTCGGTCTTTCTGTCATGGGACATACTTCTATCAAAAAAGTCATGGTGTTCTAGCATGTGGTAATGAACCACCTTTTTTCTTTGAGTCTTGCTATGCAGGCTCGTCTGCAACAACTGCCGGGGGGTACAATCAATGAGGACTTTTTGAGGCAGTGGGACGGCATACACTTGATCCCGGCTTCTGACGGAAGATCTTGCTGAGGGTCTTTCGCAGAATCGTCTCGGCATTGTAGGTACTGAGCTGCCTTACACCTATTTCATGGGTGAAACCCAATGGAACAGATGATCGGATCGTAAATTGTCCATTCAAGCATACGCTCCCAGAAGTGGAGCAAGTACTAGTGTTAGCAGTGAGTGTACAACGAACATCTGGCGTCGCCCTTATGAAAAGATATGTCCGAGTCGTATGTACGTTCTCAGGGTATATTTAATTATCCATAAGTATAAGCAATTACTATCGCTCTTCATCAGAACATTTGTGTTTAATAATTAACTTTCTATTGACAATGGATTCAAAATAACAATTTACATTCTACTGTAGCAGATCAAAATTATTTAATCTCGACTTAAACTTGTAAGTCCACGCTTCCCTGAACCACCATCTCTCATTTAGCAACTTGACTATTATTCCTCGAGCGCGTTGCCTCTGCCCCCTTCATCACACTCTCGGATTTTGCCTTGGGCGTACTACTACTAGCAACACGATGATGAACCTGTCCTGGCTGGTCCTTTTTTGTGCTTGGCCGTCTTACAGTTGTACTATCTCCCTTTACTTCACTCTGAACTCTGCTCGACATGCGAGCGACAGGAGCCGTCTTGACTTTGCTTGCGCTCGCACCACTTTCAGTCCTATTTGCTTTTGCTTCACTCAGAACCCTGGTCGGTGTGCGAGAGTCAGGAGTTGTCTGGTCTTTTCCTGTACTCAGACCGCTTTTAGTCCTATGTTCTTTTGCTTCACTCAGAACCCTGCTCGTTGTGCGAACGGTTGGAGTCGTCTGGTCTTTTCCTACGCGGGAGACTTTTGCAGTACCATGTGCCTGTGATTTTCTCGGAACTCTGCTTTTAGTACGATTTGTGGAGGCCTGCGAAGCAGTGTGATGTCGTATGGCAACATTCCCCGGCTGGCCCTGTAGGTGTTGGTCAGTCCCAATTGACGTTGATCCATGTGATTGCTGTCGAGATCCAGGTTGGCTGCTTTGACTCTGCAATTTTTCACGTATCTCTGGATCCGCAACCACCTTTGCGAGTCTTTTGAACTCCTTTTTTGCATCGTGGTTCCAACTGACGCCCTCTTTTTCACCTTTGATATTCAGCCACTAGATAATGTCTGGTGTTAATAATACGAGCTATTATACGAGCGGGATTGAGAGGTTACAGGGTGGTCAAGCGCCTTTTTCGCAGACATTCTTTTGATTGGATCCGGTTCTAGGCATTTGCGCATGAAATCGATTGCTGTTGAAAAATCTACATCTATACTACCTGTAAAGGACTGATAAGACTTACCATCAGGAGTCATTTCCTTTACCCATGATGGTCCTTCCGGATCTTTACTCAGGAGTATGTCAATCAAACCCTTGGAGCCATTGTCTAAATTCTTATGGCTTTCTACTACTTTGCGTGCCGCTTCCTGAGGAGTGACTTTTTTTTGATCTTTCCCAAGCTCTATCGCAATGTGATTATAAAGGAAGTTTTCGGACGGGAAAATATACATATTTGCTCTTGGAAAAGGTAAGGATAAACATCAGATGAAATAGAACCGATAGAACCGATAGAACCTACCCCAGGGACCACATGTCCACTGCCTCTGTATACGGCTTATCGGGATGCAGCAACATTTCCGGCACAGTATAATTTGGCGACCCATATTCACCCTCCGCTCCATAAACATCCTTTGCTCTGATGCGGAATTTTCCCTTTTTTACTAAACTATTAGAAGGAAGTCAATGGGAATTGTAGGATAAAGGTGATACTTTGTATTAGAAGGAGGTTATGTGAGAGGCTTAGAGGGATCACACGAAGAGGGGGGATAGTGGACTCAGCTCACTCTCTGGCGTCTGCTTCATCGTCTGTTGATTAGTTAGTCTATATATACTATGTAGGTATGTCTCAGATGTAGAATGTATGATAGAATGTATTCCATCATTGCTTGTCATTGCTTGTAATGTAGTTTATATCATCTGAGACATAGTCTTGTGTAGTCTTGTCTTAACACTCCCCTTCAAACTCTTACTAGGTTTAGTAGACTTGTAAGATGTTTGCTTACAGTATGTATAGATAGTTTAATCATTATAACTGCATTGTATAATTGTTCATTTGTGTAATGCATTTATAACTTGATGTAGTTAATAATAATATTATTAGCATTGTAGTAATGCACTGTCCGTTCCATGTACTGTCCATTCTGTGTTCTGTCTGTTCCAAATGTTATCCACTTTGTGTTAAGTTTGTCCAATGTTATATTAAATAAATATATTCAATTAGTTTGTTTGTTTGTAGTATACTGTTCAATAACAGCATTGTTATCACAATAGATCATTTGTAAATGTTATTAAATAATTTGTAAATGCTTCAGAGACCTGCAGAATCTTGTCAGCATGCATGGGTACATATATACACATATTTAAATCATAAATGCAATTGCTCGTTTTGTTTTATTGTTTGTTATTCAATCATATTGTTTGTTATTAAGTTTGTTTGAGTACTCTAGTAATTTCCTTTTACTTTGCTGTGAAACTAATGAATCATGCTAGTAAATGTATATTTGGTGTTACAATAATATCCTTCTTTAATCATTACTGTCTGTGTTTGTCTACATTCATATATGTGTTCAGCATTCAGCAATAACTGATTTGTGTCTTCAGATTGAAGCTTTGCATTGATTGTATATTGTAATATTAATAATAATATTTGTTTTTGCCAGATTGCTTCATTCTGAGATTAATAAGGTTTTATACAAACATATATGTGTTGCATAGATGTTATATCTGGCTGCAGGCAGCTTGCTATGTGTCTAGGTGCATCATATATGTATTATATTATGAATGTATTGTATGTTTGTATTGCTTCATGCTACTGTTTATATTTATATATTAATATTGTGTTTTGTAATGAATTGTTTCTAATACATCCTGAGTAACTATACAATCTGTCATGTTATTTCTTCAATAGCTAACATAATTATCCATTGTAAATTGTTACTAATGTGTGTTCATATTATTTATTATAATGTTATTGTGAATTGTCACAATTGTAATGTTATGAATATTTATAGATATTATGACTATTGTTCTTTGCTTTTTCTTTTGTAAAGAATAGTGTATTGTAACACAATCTGCATATAAGTAATATATTAGATTATGTTTACTATAATTGTCTCCTAGCATACTTTAGTTAATCTAGTGCTGTACACAATTGTGGTATTTGTTCAACATTTTATTTGTTACTGTTGTTTTCATAAATATTGTCACACGTGTGATTTGTGATTTTCGTCACACTAAGTACACTCAAATACAAAATCTATCATAACTCAACTAATACTTAACCAAATTACATGATCTAAGTTGTAAAAAATATACTTTTAAAGTGTCTTTCATACCAGAAAAAATAAAGTAAAATGATGTTAAGACAAGACTACATGAGAGTATGTCTCAGATAATATAAACACATTACAAGTAATGACAAGCAATGATGGAATACCTTCCATCATACATCTTACATCCGAGACATACTTACATAGTATATATAGACTAACTAATCAACAGACAATGAAGCAAGTTGTAAGAGAGCAAGCCAAGTCTACTATCCCTCCTCTTTGTGTGATCCCTCTAAGCCTCTCTCATAACCTCCTTTTAATAGGTTATGAGCCTTGTGCTCCCTACCTATGCTTTATCTACACTCTACCAAGTCTATGCTCTATACAGTTCTACACATTACATACATGCACACAGCATACTATAATGCAGAACTCAACACACCTGTCTGAGTATTCTAAACACAAATTGATACACTACAAACACACAATCTACTGTACTACACACAACCCAGACATTATATGATCATTGTCTTAGTGACTATAATCATTAGCCTAGTAATAATGTAATCTATGTAGGCAACATTGAAACTATAATGAGTATCACTTACTGTAACATTTAATCACTAAATTACTCTATAATATTACAGAGATAATGTTATTATAAATAACTGATCATACTACAGACAAACATTATAAGGATTGAGAAAGCAAACACTACTCATCTACTATTAATATTATAATAGTACAAATGATTGACACTGTCAACAAGTACACATATTGTAAGATATACTCACTTTACTAGTTCTAGTTCTTAGGAATAGTAATAGAATAGAGTATAGAGGGTAAGACTTGTAGACTTGTAGAGTGAGAGGGTAGAGGAGTCCTGCTTTAGTCAAGCTGCAAGTGTAGCCTAGTAGGTTGGTAGTAGAGTACTTTCAAGTACTAAGTAACTTAAGTTGATAAAACTATCTTTTGAGGGCCAAACTAGCCTCCTTATATACCTTTTGCTAGAGTAATGTTACTCTAGTAAATTTAGTAACTCTCTTTACTGTTGTTCTTATAAAGTAGAGCTGGCTAATCCTTTAGACTGTATACTATACTAGTTTGTGTCTTCTATTAATCTTCTAATACTAGTTTGTGTCTTCTTATATTCTAGATTAATCTTCTAATGACTCCTTTACTGTATTATTATGTCTTCTATACTTCCTCTTATACTTCTAATAACTCCTTATGAGTCCTCCTAACTAGTTATACTGTGTAAGCTGTGTAATACTTTTCCTATAAAGTAGAGCTTTCTATTGTTCTTATAGTCTTCTTATAACTCTGTCTGACTCAACCTGTACTTCCTGTATACTAGTTTGTAATACTTTTTCTTATAAGGTAGAGTATTATAACTTCTAATGACTCCTTATAACTTCTGTAATATAAAAGGCTGTGCTTCTGTACTACCTCTAGAACTTACAACCAAAGTTCTAGACTGTCTTTTATACACTCTAGAACTGACAACTAATATTCTAGATCTTTCCTTAAGCCTTCTTTAATAGACTTAGTTTAGGAGACAATTATCCTTATTAACTTCTAGCCTTATCTTTGTACTTCTGTATTCAATCATAGAACTTACAACTAAAGCTCTAGATTACCTTATGTATTCCTCATATTGTTCTCATATAGTCCTTATGTTTATAACTTTATTACTTTCCTATCTGTATAAGTAAAGTGTATAAAGGAGACTACTTTCTTATAGTTTCTCCTTAAAGCTCTCAGTTCCTTTTCTTTACACTAGTACTAGTCCTCCTCAAGTATAAAGCTTTAGAGTAATGGCTCTGACTCTTTACTAGCTTTAATAGTCCTTTATCTTTGTATAAAGAGTTTTTAGCTAGTTATGTAATTTCTCCTATAAGTAAGTATAATATTTTCCTTTATCTCTTTAGGTTTTCTCCTAGTCTTTCTCTACCATTCTCCTTACTTTGAACACTATACTCTTTCCAGATCCTCTCTCTATACAAGCATTCTAAATGACTTGTCTTTAATTGAGTAATACAGTACTAGAGTATGTGTTTGACTTTAGATGTTAGTAACAGTATAAAGGGGACCTAAAGGCTCAGTAAGAGGACCCAGGCTACAACTATCCTACATAACAGAAATACAGAATGTAAGTACTAGAACATAGTCAGAACTTGTAGAACAGACAGAGAGAGAGAGTGAGACAAGAGTAGAGTATATAGAGTAAGCTTAAGAGTATAGGACTACTTAGAGTAGACAAGATCAAGACTACAGGACTAGTCTAATCTTGTACACTTATATATACTAAACTATACAAGAGTACTCAGAGAATGGTAAGTTACAAATAATGAAAGAAAGGAAGGTTAAAGATAAAGAAACAAAGAATGAAGGGGTGGTTAAAGGAACAGAATGATAAAGTAAGGAGGGGTAGTAGTAAGAGTTAGTCTGTATATAGTTTATAGATAGTACTCTTAAAGGACAGAGGTTCTGAGTTCTAGTACAGAAGGGTGTAGAACCCTTAGAACTAAAGGTGTAAGAGTAGAGAACCATAACATTACTCTCCCTTTAAAACCAATTGTCCTAATTAGTGAATATTAGACTTAGTTAGTAGTTTAAGTATAAGTTAGAACAGTAGAGTTTAGAAATCTGTAAGGCAGAGTTGGTACAGAGCACCTGGATGAAGTTAATAGAAGTCTTGGATTGTCTTAGTAGTATGAGTAAGATTCTTAGTAGGTTCTCAAGTGTGTTCTTCAACTGAGTACCCTTTCTAGTAAATAAGGAACTTAAGCTTTCTGTATACTAACTTAATATTTACTACATACTCTACTTTGTATTCTAGTTCAGAACTGATGAGTTCTAGTAGAGACAGTAGGAGTCTTTGTTGTAAAGGAAAACTCAGATTATAGTACTAAGACAACAGAACCTTGTTAAACACTGAGTGTATGTACTTCTATATTATTAGAAGTTAGAGTTTGTAAGTAGAGACACTAACCTTCTTTTTAATAATAAAGAGTCTGAAGCACTTATTGTCCAACTTCTTCATTAGACAATCTATGGTCAGATTAGTAGCTTCTAACATAACTTTGTTACTAGACTAGTAATCCTTAGCTATGAATCTCTTCTAATTATAGTTCTACTTTATAACTTATACTACCTTCTCTAAAAGAGCTTGTACA